AGCGGCATTCGGTATAGTTACGGCAAGATTACGGTAATGGGTCGATTTGCACGTTACCGCGCGAAATAAACATCGTAATCGCGTTCACCGCCCCAAATAACCTCCCTAAACGAAGTTTGCGGCAAATCCGTGGTTTTGACCTTCTACTGTAACTCCAACGAATAGCGCTGCCACCATAATCAAACAACATGTTTCAGGTGCCAAATAACTCCCGTAGAACAAATTTTGGCGAAATTCAGGATTTTCTTTTTTTGGTCAACTAATGTAAATAACACCCATAAATCAATCAACAGAGTTTGATAAAAATGAAGTGAGCCAAGAAAGCATAAGAAACTTCAAAATATCGATTTATAACAGAGCTCTACATCGATAAGCGAAATAAAACTTTTACATAAAGTCACTCACTAAAATTGTGTATCCCTCTTTGCCCAGCTACACTTACAGTCTTGACGTCAGCTTCAGCACGCATATTTACGTACCAATGGACCAGTCCGGGAACTCCGTCTATCTCTGGATTGAAATCGATTTTCGACGCTGAAGTAGTTGCCAAACTGAATAGTTCTCAAAAACCAAATCTTCGTTCCAGCTTCGAAAACGTAAACAAAAAAAAACTACCATTCCATTCTTTGACTAAAGCACCCTTGATATATATGGTTTGTCCGAGAGTATCTTCGGCAAAACTTTGCTTGATCTGACCATAGAGTAAGTTGAACTACTACACCAGATTGATCCACCAAATACACATCACGCTTTGCACACTCTCGCCCCTGCCTCGATGTGACTGAAAATACACCAACTGAGACGCGTCGAAACCAGATATATGCCATACTTTCTTAAACGAATCCAAATGATCAACTACAGCAAACACATCGATGTTTTCATTTTTGTGACTTGGGACGTTGATGACGGACAAACTTTTAGCACAAGGCCTCGCCATTTGCACATAACAATAAGCAATCTAATGTTTCTTACATGACACAAAAAGTGAACAATTGTGGGGGCTAACCTCTGTATTAGCCGTCATGGTCAATTCGTAGTCATGGCCTGTGCTATTGAAACGCTTATTGGCTCTCTTCACAAAAGCATCGGAAATATAGTAAAACTAAAAACAAGCTATAAGTCAAAAGTATTATAACACTACAAAACAATTACAGCCAAATACAGCCAGAGTATACAAAAAGGTACGTACACAATCGGTCTTAACAAAGCTGCACATCTTCACAACAACATCATTGAACGCCGTGACACGGACAGCGTCACCGTCCTTGTCGGTTATTTCAAAACCGAATATCTGAAGAAAAAATCAACTATGTGGAAACTAAATGATCCTGCAAAGCAGAAAACATCCTCCCTCAAAGTGAATAAAATACAGAGCAGTCTATCTTACCTTGAGAGTTTTATTGCCATTTTTTGTTTTGGAAATTTTCAACTCCTCAAGCGATGTGCACAACCCACATATGAGCCATTTACCCGCATAAGGGACCCGTCATACTTCGCCCAAAAAAGCGCGTTT